CACCCCTCTCTGCATGTCCCTCGGCTGCCCCCCCCCTTCCCTGCCACATCAGATGCTAGCTACTCCTCTTCGCTTTTAAGGCTCATCATGGCCTATCACCACCCTACCTGTTATCTCATCCACACTACAGAGATGCTCACTCCTGCCGCCGCTCTGCCAATGGTGCCATCCTCCAGTGCTCATTGGTCAAATTGTCCAACCAGCACCTCCGTGCTTCCTCTCCTGGTGCCCCATAAACCTCTGCTAGTCACCTGCCTCTGAACACTCTCTGCTGCTGGCATGCAGACAAAGAACTTGACAACAGAGTGGCCGCTGGTGTGCCGAGAGCGCAGCTTGTCATGCCACTCCTAGTGGCCTCATTATTACCTTGCGCCTGCCCCCATCTGTGTGTTGTAATCGCTCGTTATATACTTGCGTTGTCTTGTACTTCCATTGTGAGCTCTTCAGAGAAGGGGCCATCCTCGTTCTGTTTGTACAGCACCAAGCACACTGGAGCCCTGCTCCCTTACACTACCATAATACCAATAATAAATAATACAGCCACATTGACATCTTGCAGTCAGGAGGCATGCGAGCACCCATTGGAAGCCCCCCTATCAGCTCCCCCGCCCCAGAACCTCCCACCCGCCGGTGGGCCCGGGGATCAGTGTCTCCCTCTCCCTCCCTGTGCCTCCCATGAGGTGAGGGGGGAGGAGCAGGGACAGGGCATGCTCAAGGTTGGGGTTGGAACTGGGCGGGAAGGGGCTGGGGAGAGCAGAGGCAGGGCAGGGGTGGGGCCTTGGGGGAAGGGGTGGATGGAGACAGAGTCTGGGGCACAGCCGGGGGTTAAAGCACCCCCCTGGCACTTTGGAAAGTCGGCGCCTGTGATCAAACCCCCCCACTTCATTGTCAAGAGATGGTCCCACTGCTCTGGGTTTCAGTTGTCTGTATTGTCTATATTTTCCTTGGGACATGGTCCCGATGTTCTGTATAGATCCAGCCAGCAATGATAAATGATCATGCTAAGACGGTGGCACCTGAATGTTCTAACACTGTTCTGCAGGAACTTGTTGGTCCATTCTAATGTTAGTTACACTTTCATTCCCAATCCAAGTGTCTGCCCACAGCTCTCTGCTGATCCGTTCGCTGCTGGATGATGATCAGAGTGCTTTACTATCCTGAGGAATATTTGAAATTCCTCAGACGCAAACGGGAAATCATTAGTTGACGTGATCTGGTCAGGTGACCTAGAAGTGGCAAACATGATGCAATGCGTCACAGGGCCTGGCCAAAGAAGTGTTCTTCCTATTGCCACCTCGAATTAAGCATCAATCACAACTTATTCTTTTCTGCAAAATGAATGTGCAGTCTTTGCCAGAACCCAGTGAAAGCTTTGGCAGACTGGCTAGAAATCCAGAGATATTTTCTCCTTCCATTTGTGCCCTTAGATGGAACTTAGAGCTTTCAGCTACAAGGTTAGTTTTGGGCATCTCCTGCTTTTTAAGAACCTCTGGCAAGACTTTCTACTGGAAGTCACTTAGTCCCAGTGGAAAACCTAAATCCTGCAAATGCCAGTTGGCCCTACAACATTAGAAAAATGATCTTTTTAATCAATATCCTTCACAACACACTTTGAACCCGCAGACATAAAATCCGCCTTGTTCCTCCTTTTAGTGAAACTGGAAACAGTCCCATATTTCCATAGTTGTCCTATTAGATTTTCTGTTTGTTTGTTTGTTTGTTTTAACCAGGAGGCAGGTTTGTTGCTCCTTTGCTGTCTTGGAGCTCCTCCCTTGGAGGAAGGCTGGCCAGGGGTTAGTGCACTAGCCTGGGTCTTTGGAGAGCTGGTTCAATTCCCCGCTCTGCCACAGAGGCCCTACATAAGAACGGCGATACTGGGTCAGACCAAAGGTCCATCTAGTCCAGTATCCTGTCTACTGACAGTGGCCAATGCCAGGTGCCCCAGAGGGAGTGAACCTAATAGGTAATGATCAAATGATCTCTCTCCTGCCATCCATCTCCACCCTCTGACAAAGAGAGGCTAGGGACACCATTTCTTACCCATCCTGGCTAATAGCCGTTAATGGATTTAACCTCTATGAATTTATCTAGTTCTCTTTTAAACCCTGTTATAGTCCTAGCCTTCACAACCGCCTCAGGCAAGGAGTTCCACAAGTTGACCGTGCGCTGTGTGAAGAAGAACTTCCTTGTATTTGTTTTAAACCTGCTGCCCATTAATTTCATTTGGTGGCCCCTAGTTCTTGTATTATGGGAATAAGTAAATAACTTTTCCTTATCTACTTTCTCCACATCACTCACGATTTTATATACCTCTATCATATCCGCCCTTAGTCTCCTCTTTTCCAAGCTGAAAAGTCCTAGCCTCTTTTATCTCTCCTCATATGGGACCCCCATTCCAACCCCCTAATCATTTTAGTTGCCCTTCTCTGAACTTTTCTAGAATCATAGATATTAGGGTTGGAAGGGATCTCAGGAGGTCATCTAGTCCAACCCCCTGCTCAAAGCAGGACTAATCCCCAAACAGATTTTTACCCCAGTCCCCTAAATGCCCCCCCCCTCAAGGATTGAACTCACATCCCTGGGTTTAGCAGGCCAATGCTCAAACCACTGAGCTATCCCTCCCCCCAGTATATCTTTCTAGTGCCAGTATATCTTTTTTGAGATGAGGAGACCACATCTGTACGCAGTATTCAAGATGTGGGCGTACCATTGATTTATATAAGGGCAATAAGATATTCTCCGTCTTATTCTCTATCCCCTTTTTAATTATTTCTAACATCCTGCTTGCTTTTTTGCCTGCCCTGCATGACCTCGGACAAGTCACTGAAGGTATGTGCACATGGCAGCTGAGAGGTGTGATTCCCAGAATGGGTAGCACATGGGCTATCACCTAAAAATCGCAGTCTAGTGGCATGGGCTAGCTGCCTGCTGAGTACATACCCAGGGGTCAGGGCAGACTGAACTTGGGTGGCTAGCCCAAGGTGACACCACAGCCACGTTGCTATTTTTAGGTGCTAGTTGGAGCAGAGCTAGCATATGTGTCTGCCTGTGCTGGGAGTTACATCTCCCAGCAGCTGTCTCCCCGAGTCCCTCTGAGCCTTAGTTCCTCATCTGTCTAACTGGGATAATAGAATTGCCCTGCCTAACAGGCGTGTGTGAGGATGCTCTCAGCTATTCTGAGGGCCAGAGAAGTACCAAATGATTGTTTCTGCCAACCCATCCTTCCTCCTTACAATGGTTATTATACTTGCTGTCCAGAAAGAGCAAACAGATCTTCTAAATCAGTGGTTTTCAACCTTGTTTCATTTGCAGACCCCTAAAAAATTTCAAATGGAGATGCAAGTCCCTCTGGAAATCTTAGCCATAGTCTGTGGACCCCCAGGGGTGCATGGACCACAGGTTGAAAACCACTGTTCTAAATCCAAATGGCCTTTCATTTAGGTTTATGAGACCAGCTGAACAAGAAAGAACAAAAGTCAACTCCCCCTAGAGAGAGCACAGTGTGTATCCCTGCTGAATCCTGGGAACATAATGGCTACTGACCTGCGTGAGCTCCACCCTTTAAGGGTTTGGGACACAAAGCGAAAGGCAGTACAGTTTCATAGCTACACGTGGTCCCTGATATTTTGGAGACTCTTGCTTGAACTACACCTAATAATTAATCTAAGACAAATCTAGTTATGTAAACTTCCCGGTCTCTGCTAATTGTGCATGTTGATTTTAGGACTGAAGGGGCTGGATATTGGTCCAGGCAGGCGTTCATAGTTATTCAGTAGCCTTGCAAATGCAGACAGTGCATTGCTATTGGGGAATACCGGGGGGGGAGGGGGGCAGGAAATTCCACAGGTAGCAGGATAGCACAGCTAACCAGCTTCTTCTGGGGCATATGGCACAGGTGTGGCCTTGAATGTTGTTGGCATCTCTTCAGACCCAGTTCTGCCTCCAAACCTAGGTCCTGACCCAACTCCCCTAACACGGAATAGTTCCTGAGTCTGTGCCTAGCCCTGCTGATGTCAGAGGAGCTCTTAGTGGTGCTCCCAAATATAGAATGATAGAATATTAGGGTTGGAAGAGACCTCAGGAGGTCATCTAATCCAACCCCCTGCTCAAAGCAGGACCAACACCAACTAAATCATCCCAGACAGGGCTTTGTTAAGCCAGGCCTTAAAAACCTCTAAGGGTGGAGATTCCACCACCTCCCTAAATAACTCATTCCAGTGCTTCACCACTCTCCTAGTGAAATAGTGTTTCCTAATATCCAACCTAGACCTCCCCCACTGCAACTAGAGACCATTGCTCCTTGTTCTGTCATCTGCCAGGATTGCGAAGAGCCGAGCTCCATCCTCTTTGGAACCCCCCTTCAGGTAGTTGAAGGCTGCTATTAAATCTCTCCTCACTCTTCTCTTCTGTAGACTAAATAACTCCAGTGCCCTCAGCCTCTCCTCCTAAGCTATGTGCCCCAGCCCCCTAATCATTTTTGTTGCCCTCCGCTGGACTCTCTCCGCCAGACTCTCTCCAGCATGAGTAAGGGGGTCCGAATCTGGCTCTGGTGAATTAAACATAAGTGTGCGGGTGAGACCATGAGTGTGCCTTCTGCATCTCTTCTGTTCACAGGCACTTCCAGCCAAGCTCCTTGGGGGCTTGATTTGGACAGGGCCCAGGAGGTGCTGGGGGAATTCATCCCCACAACGCAGGCGGTGTTTACATGCCGTCCTCCTGGGAGTTCTGCCCGGGCTGACAGTCCCACTGTCGGGCTGCGCCGGGTCCCTTGGCAAACGGGAGCTGCAGGCACTTTCCACCGCGGCAAGGACAGAGGGTGATGCCGGCACAGCCCGTGCCTGGCACTTCATCAGAGCCTGAGGGCAGACGCCGCCGTTGGACCCACTAATCTATCACTCTGCAAAGCAAACCGCGCAGCGAGGGGTGAGGCTCGGGTGGAGCCAGGGTGTGGTTCTGGGTGGGGCGGTCCTGGAGATGGGGCTCGTGCTGGAGCTCGCTGTGGGGTGGGGGGCTGAGTCTGCTGCTGCCTCGGGCGCTGGTTCTGGGGCTGATCCGGATCCTGGGGCTGGTTCTGGGCCTGATCCTGAGCTAGGCGCCAGTGCAGCCGAAGGGCTCCGAGCCCCTGGCCGCCGCCCCCTGCCAGGTCCAGTGGTGCGGAGCCGCCGCTAGCTCTTTAAAATGTTGCAGGGGCTGAGCGCGGCGCGTGTGGCCATGTGATTGCCGGGGAGGCTGCAGGCGGCGAGTGGAGTCGGGCTGGGGGCGCGGTGTCCGGCTGCTGAGCGCCGCCGGGGCGGCTGAGCCCGAGCCCGGGCTGCCAAGGGCAAGGAGCCGGCTGCGGGCGCGGGATGGCGGAGACCCAATAGCCCGGGCGGCCGCTCGCACGGGCTGAGTCCGCCGCTGCCCCGCCGGGAGTCGCGCGTTGCCTGCCAGAGAGAAGCGCACGGGCGTGCGGGACGCAGCCACTTCGGAGCCGGGCCAGCGCGGCTGGGAGGCGCCCGCTGCTCCGGGGGGCAGGGACCTGCCTAGGTGAGGGGGGTGGCCGGCTGGGTGGTGGTGGACAGGTGGGAGTTGGTGACCGGCTTGGGTGGGCTGCCGAGGGAGGCGGGGTGAACAGGTGGGAGAGGGGTGGACAGGTGAGAGGAGGTGGCCGGATGGAGGGTGGACAGGTGGAAGGGGAGTGGCCAGGTGGGACGGGGTGGCCAGTTGAGGGGTGGGGTGGGCTGGGCTGCTGAGAGAGGTGGACAAGTGGCTGGCTGGAGGGTGGGTGTACAGTGGGGGAGGTGTGGCCAGCAGGGTGGTGGCCGGTTCGGGGATGAGCCAGTGAGGGAGATGGCCAGCAAGGGGACGGACAGGTGAGGGTTGCTGTCCTCACAGCTGCTCTCCAGTTGGTGGGCTAGGCATAATGCCAATGCCAGGGGTAACTGTCTTCCCCATGTGTTTGCAGGTGACGGACGGGCCCTGTCTCCAGCGGGGATCAGGGCACTATGGCACAGTCCGTCTCTGCCTTCCAGGCTGCCTACATCACCATCGAAGTGCTGATTGCCTTGGTGTCTGTGCCAGGGAACATCCTGGTGATCTGGGCTGTCAAAAAGAACCAGGCTCTGCAGGATGCCACCTTCAGCTTCATTGTCTCGCTGGCCGTGGCTGACGTGGCGGTGGGCACCCTGGTCATCCCACTCGCCATCGTTATCAACATTGGGCCGCAGATGGAGTTCTACACCTGCCTGATGGTGGCCTGCCCTGTCCTCATCCTCACTGAAAGCTCCATCCTGGCTCTGCTGGCCATCGCTGTGGATCGCTACCTGCGGGTGAAGATCCCCCTAAGGTAGGAAATCCCCTGGGTGCAGCAGAGCCTCTGCTGTCACCTTGTGACAGAGCCAGGACGCTGCTGCTGGCAGCATGAAGACAGGTCCATCTATAATCCTGGCTGAGATCAGGAACACCCCACCTCCCTCTGCAGCAGCAGGGCCACACTCATGTCTCCAACCCCCTCGTGTCTCCATCCTGCTTAGAGGGCTGGATGGCCAGAGGGTCTATCCATCTGCCATGCTGTACACACCTGCCACATTGACAGGCCAGCCCGTAGTGATCATGATGGCAGTGAATGTGTCCAGCTCCACAAGGGGTGCTGGTAGACAGTGACCGGCTGCCCTAGATGCTATGGGGAGAAGAGGCCCAGAAGCTGTACCTGATACAGAGCTGCTTGCTCTACTCTGGCCTGCCCACACACTTAACACTGCTTCAACACTTCCTCCCGGGATGTGTTTATTTAGAATGTGCCTGTGAATTGTGCTCCTGTTGCCATGTGCCTTGCGCCACGTGGCTATGTAACCCCTCCACCCCCACTGCCCTACACACTCCCAGGCCGGCACAGAACAAAGAAGTATGCCCTGGAGCTGAGCACCACTAGAGAGAGGATTAGCTGCATGACAGTGGCATGCTTCAGACAGCAGGAATGTGAAGACAGCCCCGGCCTGACTCCTGGCTCAGAGTGGGGCCTGGAAACCCAGTGTCTGATTATAATGGCTCTGGGGCATCCAAAGCCCCCAGCGAGTCTGGTGCCCGTGCTACGCGGGGGCTCCTGAGGGGCCAGTGCTGGTGCTGCCTTGGAGCAGAGAGGGAGCCAGTGTTCTAATCAACACTTGCCACCTGCTCCCCTCTCCGTCCTGGGGCAGAACTGCCTTCCCAGAGGAAGCACTGGCTAGGGAGATGCTCCAGAAGTTAGGAAATTCTGAGACCCTTTTCCTCCTGGCTATTATGTTTGCTGACAAAGCCAAGCCCATAGTAAGTGATGTCTAATTGCCATCATGTTGTGCCTGGGCAGAATGCGGGCGGCGGGGGAATGCCCTTTGTTTGAACTCTGTAGCGCTGATAGGAAATGTTTAACCCCTTCACTTCTCCGCTGCTCCCCTGGTGCTCTTGGGCTGCCAGGCTTCGTGGCCTTTTCCCAGCAGAGACCCTGAAACACATGGTGCCGTGGGAGCTGGGTAGAGGCGCTGGCTATGCATGGCAAGGGGGTGGGGATCTGCATGGTTGCTAGATGTGGTGGTGCTGGAGCTGCATTGTTTCATAGATGTGGTGCATAGATGTGTGGCTTCTAGATGCATATGTACTGTAGGAAGTTCTCTGAATGTCCTGAGGTTCCTGCTTTGGCTGCTTCTGCTCCTACTGACTGGAGTCCCTGGCTGGCTCCTCTCTGCTGCTTTTTCCCAGGGCTCCATGGCAGAGGGAGAGGGGTGGCACCCCCAGACCAGGCTGCACATAGTGATCTTGGGGTTCATTTAGCAACAAAGCAGTGAATGAGAAAAGAATAAAACTTTGAATAAAACAAACTAGAGAGCATCTGTGGTGAACTGCTGTGCACAGCTACTCTGGGTTCTCCACCCAGCTTCCAGGGCATATCTCTAAACTCCTAGATTCATCATACTCATGAGGGAGCATCTCTACATTATAATCTTCCACAAACATCTCTCTGCATCTTCCCTCTTAAAGAAAAACCAATTAGTTCTTAAATACACACATATATAAATAAACAGCTAACAACCATCTAATATCTCTCTGGAGTGAGTCTTTACCACTCACTTTCCCTTTCTCCAGGTTAGCAAGTCTCTCTGAGTCTTTCAGGATGTTTTATCTCCCTCTCTGATCTTCTCAGTATCAGCCTTTCATTAGTTGTTCTCTTGTTCCTTGCCAGTTTCTTCTTTGTATGTTGATGATAAAGGATTAGCCAGTTGGGAAATGCCAGAGTCCACATCAGCTGTCAACGTGTTGGAACTTTCTGGGATTACTCATAGATCCCTTTGATTAAAATGTGTCCCCCTTGTCTGTCTGGACTACGTAAAACCTTGGATGCAGCTGTTCTTTAATGGTACCCCTTTGGCCCCAAATATTAGACGTGTGATTCCTCCGGCACACTCTATCATGGGGAGGCAACCTTTCAGAAGTGGTGTGCCGAGTCTTCATTTATTCACTCTAATTTAAGGTTTCGCGTGCCAGTAATACATTTTAACATTTTTAGAAGGTCTCTTTCTATAAGTCTATAATATATACCTAAACTATTGTTGTATGTAAAGTAAATAAAGGTTTTAAAATGTTTAAGAAGCTTCATTTAAAATTAAAATGCAGAACCCCCCAGATCGGTGGCCAGGACCCGGGCAGTGTGAGTGCCACTGAAAATCAGCTCACGTGCCGCCTTCGGCACACGTGCCATAGGTTGCCTACCCCTGCTCTATCACCTGGGTTAAGAGATGGGAGATCCTGGGCCCTTTTGTCAAAATAATTCTGCTTCCACTTCTGATTTTCTTTCATCTTCTGCATGGTTTCATTGTCATGAGATTTCAGCAAGTTATTAGTGATTGGTACATTAGATCTGATCCTTCTTCCCATTACCAGATGAGTTGGAGAAAAGCCATTCTCCAGGGGTGTACTTTGGTAAACCACTAATGCTTTATACAAATCACCTCCACTGTCAAAAATCTTTTTAAAGTGTCTGTTACTGTCCGTATTGACCTTTCCACAAGCCCATTCAATTGGGGGTAATTTGGGCTTGATGTTTTGTGATGAAAATCCCAATCTATGGCAAATTGCCTAAATCTGCACTGTAAAATTGTGACCCATTTAGGGTGACCAGACAGCAAGTGTGAAAAATCAAGACGGGGGTGGGAGGTAATAGGAGCCTATATAGGAAAAAGCCCCAAATATCAGGACTGTCCCTGTAAAATTGGGACATCTGGTCACCCTAGACCCATTAGCACTAAAGACTTCATCTGCAATTCCATGTTTGGAGAAGATTCCCTTCATGCCGCCTATCACTGACTTGCTATTAGTACTGTGCAGTGTGCAAATTTCTGGATACAGAGAATAATAAGCTGTGACTATTAAAGAATCCTTTGATTGCCAGGTAGATAAGTCAGTGCCGACCTTCTCATAAGGCCTTTGTGGAACTGGGTGAGTTCTCAGCGGCTCTGTCTCTTGGCATGGCTTGTATTTCAAGCATGAAAAGCAGTTTCCTACCACATTAGTAATGTTGTGGTTGCTCCGCAGCCAATACAGCACCTCTCGTGCTCATTGTTTGGACTTCTCAATTCCTAAATGACCCTCGTGGACCTTCTGTACAACCTTACTGCCCGGGAAAATCACCCCATCTATCACAGCAAGCTCAGGTCTGCAGTTCCAATGGTCTCTTCTACTTGGGCAGCAACTGCTTATTTCTACAGGCAGGGGCAGCTCTATGTATTTTGCCACCCCAAGCACGGCAGTCAGGCAGCCTTCGGCGGCATGCCTGCGGGAGATCTGCTGGTAACACAGATTCGGCGGCGTGCCTGCGGGAGGTCCACTGGTCCCATGCCTTCGGCGTACCCGCCGCCGTAACTGCGGGACTGGCGGACCTCCCGCAGGCATGCCACCGAAGGCAGCCTGACTGCCGCCCTCACAGCGACCAGCAGGCCCCCCCCGTGGCTTGCCGCCCCAGGCATGCGCTTGGTGCACTGGTGCCTGGAGCCGCCCCTGTCTACAGGCCACCCTTTAATGATCACTTCTTTAAGGATCCCCGATGATTCATCTTTCTCTGTTTTTCCTCTTATTAGTTGCGGTTTCCTTCTCGTTCGGCACTTGTGACAGCAAGTAATGATCTTGGGGTTCATTAAGCAACAAAGCGGTGAATGAGGAAGGAATAAAACTTTTAATAAAACAAACTAGAGAGCGTCTGTGGTGAACCGCTCTGCACAGTTATACTGGGTTCTCCACCCCCCTTCCCCGCTCGCTGGGCACAGCTCTAAACTCCTATATTCATCATACTGTCCCTTATGAGGGAGCGTCTCTAAATTATAATCTTCCGCAAACTTATCTCTACACTGCATGGACCTGCTGTGGCCACAACCCAGCTGAACAACCAGAGTTTGCTTTTTTGGACTGTTTAGACAGGGTGTCCTGGCAGGGCTACCATCCCCTCTGCGAGCGACAGCCCCCACCCCCACTCCCCAGCTCTTGAGGTGAGCGTGATGGCCTGATTAGTCCAGACTGGCTTTCTCCTTTTATTAGAATATTCTATTTATCCCACATTTAAAAAAAAAAAACAACAGTGTCAGTTTGGCCAGGAGGTAAGAATTTAAACACAGCAGCGGGGGGATGCACAGTTGAAATTCCAGCACCAGGTTTGTCCCTGCAGCTTGCCCATCTCCTATCTAACAGCCTTCCTAAGGCAATATCCATGCACCGCCCCTCCCTTTCCCTCCCAGTGCTTCCCCTGCCACCAAACAGCTGTTTTCCGGTGCTCCTAAGGCAGTATCCATGCACCCATGAGAGCTGTACTCCCCCCTCCACCAAACTGAGCTCTGACTGCACTTTTGGATACATGATGATATGACCGTTATTATTCCTTATTATTATTAATTTCTATTGCGTTAGCACTTAGGAACCCCAATAATGACCAGGAGCCCATTGTGCAAGGCGCTGCACAAACACAGAACTAAAAGACGATCTCTCCCAGCCCACGCGTGCCGGAAGGATTGTCGTTCAGAGATCTCTAGGCCTTCTCAAGAGGGTGACTCAAGGGGTGGAAGCCGAAGGAATCTCCCATCTGTATGGGCAGGGCTAGTGAGGCAACCAGGGAGTAGTTAGCCGGGCTCCTGACTGAGAATTGTCTGGTGTTTCCCTTGTTTTACAGACTAAACCTTACATTTCTAACAAATGTCTTGCTGTGGGAATTTCTTTGCTTTTATGTGTATTTGCCATAGTAAACTAATAGCAAAGCAGGTCGCATCCCTACACAGCTCATTAGTGTAGTAGTTAAGGCTGCAGTGGTACAATATCGTAGTTCAAGGCTGG